GACAAAGTCGTCGGCGGAGGAAACCGTCACGTACACTCCCTCACCACCGAGGTATTCCTCTGCCTTCTCTTTCTCTTTAGTTGCTCGGTGTACTGCAGAAAGCTAGGGTTAGGGTTAGTTGATTTACTTTCAGTTAGTGGAAATCGATTTCCTGGTTGGTTGTCGATTTGACAGGCCTCTGATTCGAATGAATTCAATGATATGCTTACTAGGGTTAGTTAATTTAGTTTCTGAATCTGTATTAGAATCCCATGTTATAGAAATATAAATTGTGTTGCTTTAGAACTGTTAGTTGATATTTGAATGCAGTCCTAGTAATTTTTAATTGTGCTAATGCACTGAAATGCATTGTTGGTATCGGTGTTGGTATATTAGAATTGTGCTATTGCACTCTAATTTTTAATTGCACTACTGCACTGAAATGCACCGCTACTGTTTGTGCTACGTAGAATTGCACTACTGCACTGAAAAATGCGAGTGAATTGCAAAAAACCACCACATTTTAAGTTCACATCTGAATTTGCCACCACATTCCTTGGGCGTCCCAAAAATCTACCAATTTTCTTATTAATTTTCTCAATAAACACTAATGACCAATTTGGGTTGATTTAATCGATTTTTTGACAGAAAGGACCCCTGTAAGCACTGACGTGGCTCTAAAAGTAAAAGAAAAACATGGTTGACTGTTAAATTAGATGGAAGGCCCATCGTCAGGAACCCCTCCTTCCCCATGATCCCACGAACTCCACCTTTCTGGAGCCGCCCGTGCATCGCGACGAGATCACCGGCGCCGCCCAGCCACCTCTCCTCCCGTGCTCTGCCACGTCTTCTCCCTCCCGACGCCGGTGAGATCCACCGCCCCGCGTCCCATCACACACAGCCACATACTGGATCCCGCGATGCAGCCCCTCCCCTGCCCCGACGAGGTCTGTCCTCCTCCTCTCCGGCATGCGGCCAGCCGATCCCCAGCTCCGAGATCTTCAGCGTGCAAGGGCGCTGCGGTTCCTGGTCGAGGCTTGGGTGCCCGCCAAGGAGCAACCGCGCGTGTTGTGGCCGCCGAGCTCCTGCCTGGGCCGCCGCAACCAGGGAAGCCTTTCCTGTGGCTGCCTTCCTCGCCCGAGTCCGCCGGCGTGACCACCGGAGTTGGCTTTACGAGCCCCTCTGTCCACGCCTATCTCCCCTCGTGACAGTGTTCAGAGCACAACAACCTCCCTGCAAGGGGTCCATTGTAATCTAATTTTGTTTCTAGGGTGATTTTTGCAATTTTTCAGGGACCCTTTTGTTAGTTCTACTGATGACTAGTGGGCCCACGTGTAACTTAACAGTCAACAAACGGTGTTGACCGTTTTATGCCATGTCAGCGCTTACATGCGCCATGTCAGCGCTTACATGCGGGCCCTTTCTGTCAGAAATTGGATTAAATCGTCCCAAATCGATCATTAGTGTTTATTGAGAAAATTAGCAAGGAAACTGGTAGATTTTTGGGGCGCCAAGGAATGTGGTGGCAAATCCGGATGTAAACTTCAAATGTGGTGGTTTTTTGCAATTCACTCCTGAAATGCACTAGTGGTGCTTGTGTCTGTGCTAGTGTTCTTAGAATTGTGCTACTGCACTAAAATTTGCTCATGTTTTCGTTACTAAGTACATATACTTTATTATGCTTTAGGCCTGAAGATTTGTGGTCAAGATATATCCAGTTTGATGGAAAAAGGTTCATAAACACTAAGATGGACCAGAGAGATATCACTGATGGTACCTTAATGTCAATAATGATGAGAAATGGCTATGGATTATGTGATAGTCTATGCTAAATGAAAAAATAAGGGGTAGGGTTAGAACTAGTGGTTATCTTGAAGAACAACAGTTCAGTTGATGAGCTGATTAGGAAGTGTGAATGCGCACAAGTGTAGTATTTGATAGCTAGGAGGGGCAAGATGGAACAGTTAAATTATTCTCCTCCAGCTAAGCAAAATGCAGCCATTAAGGAAGGTCCAGGTAACATAAATATTGGAGATGATGCTGAAACAACAGAAGAAGTGGAACCGCCTGTTCTTTTTGTTGTCAGTGACTCAGGTGTTATGCACAAAACATATGATGAATATGTTGGATCGTCATATGATATTGGGACACAGGAAGCGAACCTGATGCCACTAAGATCAGTGCCTCCTCCAACATATGATCACTGCATACTTGGCACACAGGACAGTGTACAGAAGCCTGTGGAAACTTTGTTGCCAGTTCAGAGAGAGGAACCAATTCAAACAGAGCACCAATCAACACTCAAGTGTTAATTATGCTAATTCAGTTTGATTCATAAGAGGAGGAGGATGTAGCTTATGCGGATTTAGTTTCTCATGAGGAGGATGTAGCTGAAGAAAAAGAAAAAAATGATGACAAAGATTATGTATCTGATGACGAGTATGTAGCCAATGAGGACCTCTCAGTCCTAGAAGATTCAGACTAAGAGAAGTATGTTGTTGATCTCTATGAAGAATTTTAAAAGAAAAAATAATCAGTTTTAAAAATAGGAAAAAAAATATATTGCAAAAAAATCGTGGTGTATTTAATAAACATTCACCACTTATTGAGAAAATGTTCATCGTGTATTTAATAAATCTTCTGTCTTCTTTGTAAAATATCCATCATGTATTTTTAAAATATTCATCATATTTGTAAAAAAATTCATGTACAAAAAAGAAAGACAACATAGAAAAAAAACTTAACAATAAAAATTACTCCCTCATATCAAAATAAGTGTCATGCTTTTAGTTCAAATTTGAAACTAGCAAAAGGAGAAAAGCAAAAAAGGCAGTAAACTGGGAAAATAACAGAAACCCCAAAACAAAGAGAAACAACAAAACCCCGGCAGAATCTACTGTCATGGGCCTATTTCACGCTCATAAGTTTCGAAATAAGGAGGGGAAATCCTATTTCACGCTCATTGAGACAAACTGCCAGGTAAACGCACACGCGAAATATCGAGTGTGAGCACTGGCCACGCCCACTTTTACCACAGAGATAATTCTGAAACAAAAAATCTTCTACCATACAGACCAACTGGTTTTGAGAATGTTCTCTGGAACGGTATTTATTTCTTTTAAATGTTTTCCGGTTTCATTTGTTTTTATTTTGCTTGCTTTATTTTTTCTCACATTCTTTTTGCACTTCTGAAAAATGTTAAGAAATCTTTTTTTTGAAAATTACAAAAAAATATGATGTATTTTTTCATTAATTAGAAAATGTTCAAGAATGTTTTGCGGTTTCCAAAAAGCAATCTTAGTTCCAAGAATTGTTTGGGTTTTAATTTTTTTTCCTAAATTAAATAACATTCGCCTTTTGAGAAATTGTTTGTGTTTTCAAAAAAAACTTCTTTTTTACAAGAATTGTTTGGCTTTTTCAAATTTGGTTCAGAAATTCAAAACATGTTCGCATTTTTAAAAATTGTACAGGTTTTTATTAAACGTTTCATATTTTTCAAGAATTGTTTGGGTTTAAATTTTTTGTTAATAGATTCCAAAAACACTCGCATTTAAGAATATTGTTCAGGTTTTTCAAAAAAAATTGGGGTTTTCCTGTTTTGTTCATAAATTCAAAAAATGATATCATTTTTAAAAACTGTTTGCGTTTTTAAAAAAATGTGTGTCTTTCAGAATGTCAAAAAGGGTACCATTTTATACTTTTAAAGCTCACATTTTTCGATAAATGGGATTTTTTTTGAAAATTGAAAATAATATTTGAAAACACAAATAATATTTTTAATTGCCAAGCCATTTCGAAAAAATCGTACAATTTTTTCGAATCTTAATATTTTGAATTCCTGAACTATTTTTTACATTGCGGACATTTTTCTGAAATTTTGATTAAAACAGAGAAGAAAAAAGAAACTGGAAAGAAAATAAAAAAATAAAGAAATAATAAAAAAGGAAATCGCATTTAAAAATTCAGAAAATGTTTTAGCTTTGTCGTGGCTGCTGGTTCTTATAATCCGCATTTCATAATTAAACATCAAAGCTCATCAGAATGTTTGGCGAAAGACAAGCGTTGAATTTTCTACTGTTTCCACGCGACAACGGGTCGGCTCAGTCGGGAGCTGTCCCTGTCCCTGTGTGGTGCACGCCAATCGGCTGCAATGCGCGGCGTATAGGAGCTCACCTAAGGAGGCGCCTTCGTCTCAAAAAACAAAACAAAAAAACTAAGGAAGAACCCTTCTCTGGTTGGTTGCCAGCTTCATGCAGATGGCAACGCCAAAGACCAAAGTGTATTTCTAACCCGGAGCTTTAAATGTTACTATGAATAGTAAAAAGAAAATCAGAAAATGTAATACGTACTCCCTCCGTTCCAAAATAGATGACCCAACTTTGTACTAACTTTAGTACAAAGTTGAGTCATCTATTTTGGAACGGACAGAGTACTCAACAAACATTGTATAGCTTTCTGCTTGTGTGCAAGGTGATGAATCACATTCATGGAGTTCTAGGCAAAAATAACAAAATTTGCAAATATTTCTTCATGGAAATTTGCACGTATATGTAAAACATTCAACAATGTCTATTGCCAAAAAAAATCAGATTTTTTTAATGATCTTTGCTATTATTTTTCAATTTTATTATTCTTATGGGTGCATTTGAGCTCGAGAGTTTGCATCAGCACCAAGACTAGCTCCCATAGCAGGTCTACCTGCGACGGCTGCGCTGTGCAAGAAAAGGTCACAAATGTAGCATGAGAGCAACATAACATAAAATTAAAGTAATATACGCGATGCAGGAAACAACTCAAACGTTCATGCGAGAGAAGAAAATGGCATCATCATCATCATCATCATCATCATCCTTCCTTCCAGTTTGACACTTCAACATTCTGAAGGTACAATCCACAGTAACATGTGATGCAGAAAACGCCTCAAAAGTTTCTATTGGACAAGGAAAGAAGGCAGCAACAAACAACAATCCCGTAGAAGAGGGCCCGAGTGGCACACACACAGGGAGCTAACGTCGCGCTATCTAATTATACACCATATACTTCGGGGTGGCGCTAAACTTTTGGTAACCCTTGATGACCTTGTTGACAGCATCAAGGAAGTCCTTCTCCGTGACGGTCTTCCTGCGCGCACGGATGGCGTACATTCCCGCCTCTGTGCACACGCTCCGGATATCAGCGCCTGTTGCAACACACAAAGAGTCAGACATGGATACATGAGAAGACTGTTGCTCATGACACAAGGCATGTGGTCAGATCATGTGAGCCGTGTCATGCCAAAATACTAGACTCTTACCAGTGGAGTTGGGGCAGAGGCGAGCCAGCAGCTCAAACCGGATGTCCCGCTCACAGTTCATCGCGCGGGTGTGGATCTTGAAGATCTGGGTGCGGCCCTCCAGGTCTGGCAAGCCAAACTCAACCTTCCTGTCCAGCCGCCCAGGACGCAACAGTGCCGGATCCAATGTATCAGGCCTGTTGGTGGCCATGAGGACCTTGATGTTTCCTCTCGCATCAAACCCATCGAGCTGATTGACAATCTCGAGCATGGTGCGCTGGACCTCGTTGTCACCCCCAGCGCCGTCGTCAAACCGAGCACCACCAATGGCATCAACCTCATCAAAGAAGACAATGCATGCCTTCTTTGACCGAGCCATCTGGAAGAGCTCACGAACCATCCGGGCCCCTTCACCAACATACTTCTGGACCAACTCACTGCCTATCACGCGGATAAAACAAGCATCGGTCCGATTGGCCACTGCCCTGGCAAGAAGAGTCTTTCCAGTTCCTGGAGGACCATAGCAAAGTACTCCCTTTGGAGGATCAATACCCAGCTTGACGAACTTCTCGGGGTGAAGCATAGGAAGCTCCACAACCTCCCGCATCTTCTCAATCTGCTCCTTGCAGCCACCAACATCATTATATGTCACATCCGGCTTTTCTTCAACTGTCATCATTGTAACACTTGGATCAATCTTGGGCGGTAAAGGAATTTGAATCTGGTATTTGTTTCGATCAACCCTGCATAATACATAAGGGGAGAATCAACATATAATGCAACTCATTCAAGAACAAGTAAAGCACAATAAGATGTTTTATGCAACAAATTTTGGTGACCCTATATATGAACCGATAGGAATAGAACGAGCATAAAGCACAACAATAATATGAACCCTTGCTGTAAACAAAACATAATATGAACCCTTGCAGCAATAAAACTGCAGCATCTGTTGCTTATTTACATTGTGCCAAATCCTAGTGCTAATTGCTATTCATATTAGTAGGCGATAGCCACAGCTCAATTGAAGGGTTATATTAAGATGCTTCTTTGGTAGTACTAGTACCCAGTCCGCTATTGCACATCAGCGATGTGGCTTACCACTCAAAACCATTGCTATTGACAACTTAACTCTAGATTTCTATTAAAAAGGAGTTCGCCCTTCTACACTCTAACTGAAAGTGTTCTTTTTTTGCGAGCTCTCTAACTGAAAGTGTTGACACGAAGCATAAATCAGGTACAAAAAGCTTTTCGAGAGCAGCCAAATGGAAGATGTTATATACTCATTAGAGAGAACAGACAACTTACCCAACTCTCATTCCTTCCTCGATATCAGTGGGGGAAACTTTGTCCCCTAAGCCAACCACAAACTGCAATATCCCCCAAAATAGTCATCATCAATATTCAACCTCCAGAAGATATGATTTGGCCTAAGATGGTACAATGCTGACATACCTTTGCGATTTGCTTGACGTTGATGACATATTTGGCATCATCAGTATTTGGACTTATGATCTTCGTGCATCGAGCGACCTTCATAACAGAATTTAATTGACTATTAATTCACCATGGAGAATATGATAAAGCACAAAGGTCACAACAAAACCACTAATTCTATGCATTCTGCGGAAGGTTAAGGCGGACATCAGGCTAATTCACCTGCAGTGGCTGCTCCTCTTGCATCATCTGTTTATCTGATACAAGATCCCACTGACTTGGTGGAGCCAACCCAGTATCAGACTCCTTTATCCCTGCAATCAAATCAAACGTGAAATGAGCTAGATGGAACACAACAAGGTGGAATAGCACAGGCACTTCAAACTGATAAACCAGTACAGCCACCGATCAGACTAGCCAAAACTGGTGACAACTTGAATCCTAGTCCCAGAAATAAGGGGTGGTCAGAGGACATCAATGTGCACGTACCGCACAGGTCGTTTATCTTCTTGGCCATCTCCTTTATCTCCTTCTCGACCTTCTTGATGCTGTTCGAGTACGGCCCAAGCCCCTGTTCAACAGAAAGCCGTCCATCCAGAATTAGAAAATTCCACCCAAATCGAGATGCTGCAATTCAGCAACACGGCATATGCCTCGCTGTCGAACACGAGAATCCAAACCAAGCATTCTTCTCCGGCGTCAAAAACCCTAATTCCCCACACAAAAATCGTAACGACACGAACTATGCGGCCAATAGTTTCCCCCAAATACATACATGCGACACAAGCTGAAAACCCTAGATGGCTAGATCTACGCGGAGCACGAATCACTAGCCCCGAGCAAGCCCGGGCGGCGGAGAGCTCCGGCCTAGACGCACGGGGCGGATCGATCCGGTGCGGGGGGAGGGAGGCGCTTACGTAGGTCTTGAGGAGGGCGATGTCGTCCTCGTCGAGCGGCCTCGGGTTCTTCTCGTTCAGGAAGTCGTCCTCTGGCTCCGGCGCCATGGCTCCTGCACCTCCTCCGGCGACGGCGACGGCGAGCGGTGGCGGGGACTGGCGGCGAGAGCGAGCGAGATGTGTCTCTCTTTCGTGCCTGCTCCTGTATATATGACTCGTTTTTCCTTTCTCCTCCGATCCGAGTCCCTTTCCTCTTAGGCAAGCCACGGTCACGTGTCCGTTTTGGGTCGGCCAGGCGGACGTGCGCGTCCGCATTTTAAAATGAATCGGCTTCACCGCCCAACGGGAAGGCCGACTCAAATGTGTCGGGATGGAAAAAAAACAGATTGCACGAAATAAACACAAATAAATATAAATAAACATAATTAAACATAAAGTGGCCGGTCAAACGCCGGCCAAAGTCCACCTAAATCTAATAAACATTAAAAAAAAGTCTGCGTCTGCCTGCTGCCGCCCCGCACGCTGTTCTAGACGTCGTCGGCCTTGCCCTTGCCCTTGCCCTCGACGCCGCCATCGTCGGTGAGGTCGATGAAGACCGGAGCAGGGCCAGCCCACCCGAACGCCGCCTGGTACGCTGCCAGGGCAGCCTCCTCCGGCGTCTGCTGGGGCGGCGGCATTGCGGCAAGCCACGCGCGCTCCTCCTCCTCCTTCTCGAGCCGGAGCGCCTCCGCGTCGCGTTGGAGCATGGCCTCGTAGCGCATCTGCTCCTCGCCGTCGGCCCGCTCCTGGCGGAGCCAGTGCTCCTTCCATCGCTCGAGGTGGGCCGCCTCCTCCTCCGGCGTGGCGGCGAAGTGGACGGGAGGCGCGCTGACCCACTCGCGGTACTGGCCCGTCCACGAGTAGGCCTCCTCCGGCCAAGTGGGTGGAGGCGGGGAGCGCTTACGTGACGGCTCCGGCTCCGGCTTGGGCTGGACGGGCGGCGACGGTGGAGGCGGCGGCACGAAGAGCAGGGTGTGGACGGAGTCCCCCGCCGCCGACAGGGCAAGGGCTTGCTCTAGCTCATCCCAATGCGCGTCCTCGTCGATGCGGCTAGCCTCCAGCGCGTGATGCAGGGCCTCCTCGAGGGCGGCCTGGTACTCCGCCTCGGCCTCCATGTCCTCCGACTCTACCTCCGGGGGCGGCGGTGGAACGGCGGCGGGACGACGTCGACACCCGAGCGTCGTTGCTCCTCGTGTTCGAGGGCGAACCAAGCCTCCCAGTTGGGAGAGTCGGCGGCGTACTCGGGCAGCCGACGCTGCTTCGGCGTGAGCAGCGCGCGGTGCCGGCGCACCTCGTCGTCGTACGCCCGCTGGGTCTGTGGAACCGCCGGCACCGGGATCCGGTTTGGATCCAAATGCCAATGGTGCGGCAGCGTCACGTCGGGGTAGGGGAGGGGTTGCCTGTACTCCCAGTGCCACCGCGCTTGGTGCACCGGGATGTGCGGGTGCCGGCGTTCAGTGCGGAAACGCGCCAGCGGTGGAGGGGGAGGGGAAGCACTAGATAACGAGGCGCCGGGGATGCCCTTGCCCTTGCCCTTGCTGCTGCCGAAGAGGCCCATGGGCGCGCTAGGGTTTGCGGTCACCGGCGAGGAAGCAAAGGGAGTGGTTGGGGGCCAGATGTGGACGGGAGAAGTAGATGAGGCCGACCCCGCCGCACGCGTGGTTAAAAAAGGACGTGCGCACTGGCTGACGCGTGGGTCCGCTGTCGGTGGTCGTCATAAATAAGACGACCGGTGACGGTTGGGTGGCCGCCAGGTGGGGACGCGGCTGACGGCGAGGAGACGTGCGGCGCGTCCGCTTCGCGTCCGCGCCGACGCATTCCAGGCGCAATTTTGAACCGGAAATGGGTCGACCCGGACGCCAAGCGGACACGATTTGAGTTTGGGTCGGCGCGTTGGGCCGCCACTTTTGTCCGCGCCGACCCAAACGGACGCGGACGGACGAAATGGGTCGCCCCATTGGAGTTGCTCTTATCTTTGTGGTTCACTTTTGTTTAGATGAAAATCCAGAGGTGGGCATGGTTCCATGCGCACTCACGTGAATAGTGGATTCAAAAAAACTAGGGAAGAATTGCGCGAATAGTGGATTCAAAAAAACTAGGGAAGAATTGAAATCTTGGGATATCAAACTTGGTCGACCACTCTACTCGTGTATGAAATTTCTAGAAGGAATGACACCGGGGTATTCTCCAGTGAAGAAAATTACGATCCCTTCAAACAGTAGCAGTTTTTGAATATAGCTCTGATTCTTCATTTTTGCCCAGAATGCCATGGGTGTCATTATCTTGTGAAGCTTCATACACGAGTAGAATGGTCCACCAGTTTTTTTTCTACTCCCTCCGTCCCATAATGTAAGACGCTTTTTGACACTAGTATAGTGTCAAAAAACGTTTTACATTATGGGACGGAGGGAGTAATATTTTCTTCGAATTTACTGCATTCATAGTGGCGACTCACGGTCTCACCCAGTTTGGCTGATAACTGCAAAGACAATAAAAACCATGTAGTAGTAAGATTTTTCCCACCTTACAGCGGCCAGGCGTCGACCTCATTTGGCATTCCGATCATGCGTTATCGTCAGGTTGCCACTACATGTCGTCGTTTGCAACTTACAAGGAACTACGGCTAAAGAAGAAAAACTAGTCTTCGGTGGCGTAGTACTGCGGGGCGAGCTCGGCCAGCCACAGCGGGTCGATGCGGGTGAGGTTCTTGACGTAGTTCTGTGTCGTCCGGACCAGCTCGTTGAAGACGACGCAGTCCGGCTTGGTCCGGAACAGCACCGACGAAGGGTGCATCTGCACGCTCTGCCCCGTCGCCAGCGCCCTGCCAAAATCAACAACGCACCAAGCCATGAGCTTTTGAGAGAGATAAAACTATCAAGCATACATGCTACTCCGGAACATGTCGGAGAGATAGCGTGGCAGAGACGCAATGAATGAAATCAGAGCAGTACCTGAATGATCCATCTGGCTGTCGCATCGCCGCGTTCAGGAAGAAGGCGGCAGTGAGGCACCTCCGAAACTGGACCATGTCGTCTCCACACGATGACAGGTTAAGCCCCATTTGTTGGACATGGCCCTGGATTTGGCTGCACCACACAGAAAGTCTCCATGTCAGCTCAATGTGTCATCTGAAATCCCTATTCAACTGGAAACATTTCCCAGATTTTGGACGACTATATGTATTTGGTTTAGCTCTTATTAAATCTTTGCTCGTGGTCCAAGGACAAATGGCGATAGAAATTCAACAGAAAGAATTGCCGGCAGATATTTTGACTGCTGACACTACAAATACATGGCACGCTTGAGCTGATTGCAGCACTGTGAAACAACATTCTAAAAGGCCATTGTGCTCAAGCTGGGTGCAATTTTTTTAATTAAAATTCGTTAGCAGGGGTCTCTGACTCGAAATCTCTTGTTCTAATAACATGTTTGAGTTTCATGCACTAACCGGTTCACCAAAGAGCTTACGCAGTTGACAAAAAGCAGAGAATATACTCCCAGTTCAACAGTAAGAATAACTATCACTCAAAAGCCCACGGCACCCATAGTATTTTCCATTTCATCATTTAAGAGAATGCATCTAATCAGATCCAACAATTCAAGCCTTCAACAATATTGTAATAACTAACCTGTGAACATCACGAGCATGTCTTAGAGAGCGGTAATTGATGAAGTTCTCAAAGCACCATCTGTTCAAAGCCTTTTCCATTGTTTTTTCTTTGGCATTTGCGTTTTTGCTCTTCTCCAAGCATTCTGCGGCAGCTCGATATACATTCACCAAAGTTATATGGTCTCCTTCAGAGCTTTCAAAACTCTTCCTAGCAGCTCTTGCCTGAAAATGGGTTGAGGTAAAAGGATCAATGAATAAACACACTTGTAATTCCTCAAGAAAGAGACAAGTGCACTATTAATTGGTGGTAACAGGGGAAGAACCCAACCAAATACAATTTGAACCTTAGAATTCCTCTTTGGCGTGCAAATGGAAAATCATAAGGTAGAGGCTAAAGGTACCATTTTGGTGGTAGCCTAAAGGTACTTCAATACAGACATCAATAAAACAGTATATGATTCCACCACATAACTATGAAAATGATTCAATCACCATTACAAAATACTTCGGCACCAATAAATTTTGCACTCTGGGGACTTAATAATGGAAGCAATGAATGCTAGTCTTTCTAGCCACAGGGAAACCCAAGTCCATAGAGATAATGAGAGCAAGTGTTGCAGGAAAAATGTAAACACCAGTTTCTCAGAAGTTAAATACTTATAACTACATGAACATTCGATGAGATTTAGGCTGTGTTTTCGGAAAATATATTCTTGGCAATTAATCAATGATCGCCAGTTTATCAAGAACCTGAAAAGCATGCAGTGCCACACACCAGGGTGATAACTCCATTTATAAAAGTAAACTAAATCCGAGACCCACTACATAAGATGGTAACTACTCATGGCTGGACCCAAAGCCCATTCCCCAATTTTATTCAAAACTTTCTAGCATTTTCAACTTCAAACAACATGTGATCACAAATACTATTCAAATCAATACAAAATAATCCGAAACAAAACAAAAGCCATCAGTATACTGTTCATCCAGGACAGGAAAACGGGTAATGATCCAGTTCCCGCTGGTTTTTCAACCCTCCCTGCCTCCCTGGTCTTGCATTATGTCTCAAAAATACATCCAATGGTCTTATAGCTACATAATGTCCAGTAAAAACCTATTGTGGAACATATATCAAACCAGTTTCTGGGGACTCATGAGAATACCTCTTCCAACTTCTCACGTGGGGTGAAGAAAATTGACTCCACTGAAAGCATAGAAACAACAATCAACATTTCTTCCAAGCACTTGAATTCGTTCGACACTATCAATGCCTTGGAGTACATGGGATCTAAAGGCAGCCTAGCCATCTGTTTACCCACTGGATCTGACAGCTTATAATCATCAGTCAAAGCTCCTAGTAAAATCAACTGCTCCAATGATTTCAAAATGGACGTCCTGCAGTAGGTTTGGCACAATTAGCAAAACTTGATGTCCATACAAAGCAACTTGCTATTCAGCT